TTCAGGTCTGACTTGTGACATATTAGTTCCTGTGATCATGGTCAAGCCCCTCTTAACCTCTCAGTGATCCCAGCCAGCTCTTTTAAGTCCATATTCTCCAACTCCACTCAGGATAATAACAGTCAGTGGTATGCTGGTAAATGTTTAACAACCAGCTCTTGAGAAGAAAAAAAAATTATGTATAGGACATATTTTTAATCTGCATTCTTAACATTTTCTTTATCACCTTCTTAAGTCCAGACAATCAAAAAACAACAACAAAAAAACAAAACAATAAATCAAGCCCTGATTTGTAGCAGTGTGCTGATTCCCAAAGTGTAAATTTTCACACTGAAAATTTAATAGTCAGACACCCAGACCTGGTTTAGCATACCTCTGAAATAGCCAACATTCACATAGCACTTTACTTATGAGAGCTGTCTCATCTGATCCTCCCAACGCGAAGTAAAGAGGCTACTATTCCCATTTTAGAGTTGAGGAAGATGAGGCCTGAGGCTGAGAAGTGATTTATTTGCCTGGTGTGTTCCACAGCTAACAAGTATCTGCCGAAGGGTTCAAACCTAACTCCACGTCTGCTGCTCAGATACTCTCATTGCACTAGGCTGCCTCTCTGAGTGGAGGCCTTTTCTCTGTTGCTCCCCCCTTAGGATCCTAGGAACATAGATTTAGGGGGCCTTGGGGGTTCATCTAGCCCAAGCCCCAACCCCTCTTGTTTGACAGATTAAGAAACTGAGCCACAGAGAGGTTAAGCTATTTGCCCGAGGCCACATAAGTTGGCAGAGCCCAGATTTGACCCCAAATCCTCTGATTCCAAATCCAGCCCTCTCCTTACTCACTTTGCCTTCTCATGAGAAAAAAAAAAGAGTTAAAAAATTCACATTTGGCAAAGTTGACTTCTTCAGGGTCTGTTAGGTCACAACCAACATTTCTAAAACAAAATAGAGTTAACATCTTGTTTAATTTGGAATCCTCAATTCTGCTCCACAGGATTGAGAACCCTCCAAGTTCAATTCAATTCAACAAACATTGAATTCAGTACCTCTTACAATGTTCCAAAGAGATAAAATGGATGAATATGAGAATGAGTCTGAGGTATTAGTGAGCTTGAGTGTAAGATTTGCTTGGGAGCCCAGAATTTAAACCCACTCCCTGGTTGTAATGAGGGTTTAGCTTTTGGCCCCTGGTCTCTAGTCTGTCTTCAACAAGTGATGCATGAGCTCATGGGGAGCTCTATCTTCACGTCAACACTGTCTTCTGCCTTTTAAAGAAGGACTGTGGATCCATCTACTATTTTCTAATTCCCATACCTAGTAATGTCCAAACCGGTGCTGAGAAGACTTTTAAAAAATCAAGCTACTTTATTTGTAATTGTAAAAACTTAGTAACAAACTAAATGTCCAACTGTTGGTGAACGGCAGGACAAACTGTTGTATATAATTGAATAATACATGGCCATGAAAAATGACCAGTATGAGGAACATAAAGAAATTTGGACTTATACAAAGTAACACAAAGCCAAGGAAACATCAACAAAGAAGAGCAGTATATACACTGATTATAGGAAAGGAAAAAATATTTCCATAACAGAGAGAAAGAATGAACAAAAAGTACAGAAGAGAATATAGAGGGAGAACCTAATAAATGGCTATGGTTATATTGTACGTAGAAATTTATTTTTAAATATAAAGAGTTGTAAATGTATTTATATTTGTTTCTATCCTTTTTAAAAGTTAAGTGCACAATAAATTGTTTAAATAAATATTTTTTTTAAAAAATAACCAGGCTCAAAAAAAGAGACTATGCTATTTTAGGATTTTTTTTTTTATAAAATACTAGGGGGGAAAAACCTTACATTTTATAGGCAACAAAAAGACACTACATTTAATGCACTGTCTATTCGTGTGTATTAACATACATCTGTTAAAAACAAAGGTTAGTTAATTTAATCATTGGGTAGATAAAGAGAATGGGATTGAAGGAAGAACTGAGAAAGCAGTACACACATGTAAAGGGAAACAACACAAAACACTACAAGACATCAAAATTCAGGTCATTGCAATAACCAGCCCTGATTCCAGAGGACTGGTGACAAAACACATCTGCTTGCCCCTCTTTTAGAGAGGTAGATGTTAGCAGGTGCAGAAGGAGGCATACACTGCCTGAGATGGTCAATGTGTTGGTTTGTTTTGGTCAATTCCCATGTCTATTACAAGAGAATGTTCTGTCAGCGGGGTGAAGGGTATTGGGAAGTGACGGTGCTCTGACAAAAACATCAAACGTTTTTTAGAAATCATGAATATAGCAGAAAATAACTCGTGGTTAAAAATTAAAAATACAAACCAGTAACAGCTGTTTTAAGATCTGAGGCCTATATGGCACTCTGACAAAAACATCAATAAAACATTTTTTAAAATTGACAATATATCAGAAAATTACTTGTGGTCAAATTTAAAAAAAAATGCAAACC